AAAAAAATTATGTATATAAATCAATATCTTTCTGTATGGATAGATAGATTAATGTAAAAAAAACAGTTATTACATTAATATAAATTATATATAAATATATAAATGATACAATTATGCATGTGTATATATACTTTTTTTTCCCCGGGTGTGAGAATAATTAATTTCTGCCTCATAATCCTTTTAATTACTTCTGTGGGAGTGTCCTGTGAATTATTTTTTGCATCTAAAGGTGTGCTGCTCATTATTTCATATCTTAAGCACTCTTCATAACATTTTTGAAGGATTTATTGTGCATAAGATATCTGTGCACTCATTATGTACTGTAAATCTGTTACAGTACTAACACGAACTGCGTCGGATGTTTGGGACGTGACTGTATTTTGTGTGCCAGACAAAAATAGTTCCATTTCAAAACAATATCAAGCCTTTTAAACGTGCCATTCCTCTGGGAACAGCTGTTTTAAAAGAAACACTTGCGCAAATGAAGGGGAAAGGTGAAAGATCTTAGTCAACTTCTCCCTTTCCAGTGAACGTTTCTGCCGAAGCGCATGTAGCCCGTGATAGTGCAGTGTTCAGGTGCTGAGCGTGCTCGTCATGTTGACAGATGCTGAGTCCAGACGGAAGAGGAAGATGGCGGAGATCTCGCAGGCGCTGAACTCGACGCCCGTGGATGTGGCCGCTCTGAGACGCATGGCTATCAGTGAAGGAGGTCTGCTGAACGACGAGATCCGCCGCCAGGTGTGGCCCAGACTGCTCAACGTGTCTGTGGAATACATACCTGAGCAACTAGGTGAGAGCGATCGAAATGAAAGGAAGCTCACTTTCTGGAAAATAAACACATTAAAAAATATGTATAATTTAATGCAGTTTCCTACAACAAAAAGTCTCATTCTCATCACTGTAATGTGAAAAAAGTATTATTATTATTTAATTATTATTAAATGTAGTCGTTGTATAATTATTAAATATGATTAATTGCATTAAATATGATTTAATTTTCAAAATATTTTCAATATTAACATCTTTAATTCATGTTCAAGGTAATCAATCACAACTTCAACAAAAACCTTCAACAATAAAATCATCTCTATAATGTGAGAAAATATTCGTATTTAATTATTAAATGCAATCTACTTATAATTTATTCATTATAACTTAATTATATTATTTTAATTTCTTTTATTTATGTTCAAGATAATCAAGTGCATTTACCTCAAACAAAAAATATCTAATTTTCATCACTATAATGTGAAAAAATATTCCTATTTAATTATTAAATATAATCTACTTACAATTAATTATAATTTAAGTATTATTTTAATAATTCTTTAAATATTTATACATCTTTTATTTGTTTGAGATAACCAAGTGCAGTTGCCTCACGCAAAAACTTGTTCTTATCACTGAAATGTGAAAAATTTATTATTATTATTAGTGTTATTATTATTGTTATTATTAAATAAAATACAAATATACAAATACAAATTATTTAGTAATAGAATTTCATTTTGTTATTTAATATTTATATCTTTTAACTTGACGATAATCAATTACTTTGAACAAAAGTGCATTTTCATCACTGTAATGTGAAAAATATTATTTAATTTGTTTTTAAATATAACCTCCATATAATTTATTAAATAAATTCAACTGAAAATCTTATTTTCTTTATTGTAATTTGGAAAATATAATAATAATAATAATTATTATTATTATTATTATTAAAAATAATTATTCAAATATTATTCAATTTAATCTATAAATAATTTATTAAATATAATTAAATTATATTATTATTTAAAATGTAAAATATTTATACATATTATACATAATTGCAATTACCTTCAACAAAAATCTCATTCCCATTACTGTAATGTTATAAATATATTATTATTTACTAATGAATATGTATAATATACATGTAATTTATCAAACATTCTTTAATTATATTATTTATTATTTACATTTTAAAATATAATTTTTTACATTTTTTATTTACATATTTATAATATGCGCTTTAATTTATGCAGATAAAGGGGGAAAAAATAACATACCTATGTACTGTAGATGTAAATCTAGTGTTTATTTCCAGAGCCGGTCGATAGAGACAATAATAAGGACTTCAACCAAGTGCTTCTAGATGTTCAGAGATCCCTCCGACGCTTCCCTCCAGGTGAGCACTGAGCAGAACCATCTGACCTGCAGCTGCTCTCAGTCTGGGTCTAAGCTGCTCTCTGTTTGTTTGCGGTGTTTGACGGACGCAGGGATGCCAGACGAGCAGCGGGAAGGCCTTCAGGAGGAGCTGACCGATATTATCCTGCGGGTGCTGGTGAAAAACCCACAGCTGCACTATTATCAGGGTTACCATGACATCGTGGTGACCTTCCTGCTGGTGCTGGGGGAACGACTCGCCACTGCCCTGGTGGAGAAACTCTCCACTCACCACCTCAGGTGGGCCAGCAGCAGAAAACAAACATTTTGTTTTTACCAAAACACAGACAAGAAGAGATTTATTTATACATTTTTATTTTATTTTATTTTTAATTTGACTTTTAAAAAAAAATTCTGACATTGTTCAGCATAATCAAGCGCAATTCCCACCAAACAAAAATTTGCAATTTGATTACTGTAATGTAAAACAAATATTATTAATATTATTACTGTTATTTTATTATTTGTATATATAATTTGCATATAATCAATATTATTTATTTATATTTATTATTATTAAAATTTTGAAATATTTATACATTTATTTCTTCACGATAATGAAGTGCAGTTATTTCCCCCCAAAAAATCTCATTCGCATCACTGTAATGTGAAAAATTATTATTATTATTATTAAATATAATCAAAATATAATGTACTTTTATTCATTATTATTATCATTATTATTCATTATTTTAGATATGACCAATTATTATTATTAAATATAATGAACATATCATTTATTAAATATAATTTACTTTTATTCATTATTTTAAAATATTTATGTTATGTACATAATATATAATATATCTATTATTATTATTATTATTTAATCATTAATAAGTGTAATCTACATATAATGTATTGGATACAATTTAATTATATTCAGTATTGTTTAAATTTTAAAACCTATGATATTATTTTCAAGATAATCAAGCACAATTACCTTTAACAAAATCTCATTCTTATTACTGTAGTTTTAAAATGTATAATAATAATAATTATTATTATTATTGAATTCCTATTCAATTTAATGTACAAACAATATATTCAATATAATTTAATTATATTCATTCGATACATCTTTCATTTATGTTTGAAATATAACAATCAATATATTGTTATTATTGTTAAATAGTAGGGATGCACCGATACCACTTTTTTGATACCAGTATACCAGTATCGGTATCGGTGCATCCCTATTAAATATTAATTAAAATAATTCAATTCTATTTACATTTGAAAATATTTATACGTATTTTATTTATACATTTCTTGTATGGGCATTTATTCTGCATTTATTCTGAAAATAAATGGGGGAAAAAAATATTTCTTCAGTTACTGTATTATAGACAGTCTTGAAATGATTTTTTTGTTTGTAATGTCTGGTTGATATTTTTCATCCATTTAATCTACATTACAGGGACTTTATGGACCCCACTATGGACAACACCAAACACATCCTGAACTACCTGATGCCCATAATCGAGAGAGTCAACCCTGAAGTGTACGACTTCATGCAGCAGTGAGTAGACGTTGTTTTGATGTTTGTCTGCATGTTGAAGCACAATGGTTGGATTGTTTTTTTGTTACCACATTCATCATTCTGTAACTTTAACAGCATCTCCTGAAAGAATGATGACCGGTGTTCTTTATTGGCTTGTATAGTTTGAGATAAATGTCTTTATTTTGTCTGCAGAGCCGAGGTCGGCACCATTTTCGCCCTCAGCTGGCTCATCACCTGGTTCGGACACGTGCTGTCAGATTTCCGTCATGTGGTTCGGTTGTATGACTTCTTCCTGGCCTGCCATCCCCTCATGCCCATCTACTTTGCTGCTGTGGTACGTTTCCGTTTGTCGCCATTAAACCATCTTCTGAAGCTTTGAGTCTCTGGTTTCTGATGTTCAGCAGAAGTGGGTCAGCTATTTTTAGGGCTGAATCAGGCTGTGTTGTTCCATCTGAATAAATAATTGACACATTCTTTCATGTCGAGACTATTTGTCTTTTGAACAGTAAAGTACTGTGTTCTGCCACCTGCAGTCTTCATAAACCTGGAGTTTTGATGTTTGACAAGAAGTAGGTCAGGGACTAAATACTAATAGCTTTATATAGAGTAAATTCCACCAAAATCAAAAAAAAAGAAGAAATAATATTTTGTGTAAAGAAAATTAAACAGCCCAGTTTAGGATCATTAAGATTTTGGTTTAATATTTAACATTGTAAAATTAGATATGGTTTTTAAAAAAAAAATTAAATCTCATTGTCATTGCCATAATGCAAAAACTCATTGTTATTACCGTAGCAAGAAGTGAGATGATATTTAATATTTAAAAAAAAAATCATTATTACTTTAACGCAAAAAAATCTCATTGTCATTACAGTAACATCAAATATTATATAGTATTAAAAACCATAATGCAAAAAAAATCATTGTTATTTCTATAGAATAAAGTGAGATATTTCAGATTTTTAAAAAATGTTATTGTCATTACCATAATGTAATAAACCTCATTGTTATTTCCGTAACATGAGGTGAGATATTATTTAATATTAAAAAAAAAATCTCATTGTCATTACCATAATGTAATAAACCTCATTGTTATTACTGTAGGATGAAGTGAGATATTATTTAATATTTAAAAAAAAAAAAAACTTTATGACTATAATGCAAAAAAAAAACTCATTATCATTAAGTAACATAAAATTTTATATTTAAACAATTAATGTCATTACCGTAATGCAAAAAAACGCATTGTCATTAGAGTAACTTAAAATGAAATATTATTTAATATTTAAAAAAATCATTGTCAGTCTCATAATGCACAAAAATTATTATTAACTTAACATAAAACAAGATATTGTTTGATATTTTTAAGAATCATTATCATTACCATAATGCAAAAAAAAAAAATTTGATTAACAAAAAAAATTATGAATTAAAATATTAAATCATTGTCATTACGTAACAAAAATCAAGATATCATTTAATATATAAAAAAAATCATTACTGTAATGGAAAAAAACCTTATTATTTTTATAGTAACTTAACATTAGATATTATTTGCCATTTAAAAATCTGATTGTATCATAATAAAAAAATCCCATTTACATAAAACAAATAAGATATTTAATCATTAAAAATTGTCATTGTAATTACCATAATGCAAAAATCTTATTCTCATGAAATATTTTCTAGTAGTAGCATAAATTTAGATTATATTTCAATTGTAAAGTAAATTGTAAATACAAATTTGTTAGTAGTTACATAATAGTAGTATCTGTTTTAATACTACCATGAAAAATCCGTTTTAAAGTGTCATGTTTGAAAATGTTAAAAACGACTTGACAGTGAGATTTTCACATTAGACTACGGATAACTAAAATTGAGAGATTTTACATTATCAATATACATAATAAGATTCAGTAGAAATCCAAAAGCTCGAGCACAGTCTGACTCTATTTCAAAGCAAGCGTCATTTTGTCTCTTTTCAGATCGTGCTGCATCGAGAGGAGGAGGTGTTGGACTGTGAGTGTGACATGGCCATGATGCACCATCTCCTGTCCCGCATCCCAGAGGACCTGCCGTACGAGACGCTGATCAGCCGCGCCGGAGATCTGTTCGTCCAATTCCCTCCGTCTGAGCTGGCCAGAGAGCGCAATCAGCTGTAAGCCTATCTCCCTAGCTCTGAACGTTTTCCTCACAACAAACATGTCCCACAAACCACTGTCTTTTGTCCAGGACGGCCGTCTCCACCTTCAAAGACTTCGAGCTGGCGTCGACGCAGCAGCGTCCGGACACAGTGCTCCGGCAGAGACGGAAAGAGCTGCAGCACGCACTGGAGGCGCAGCGAGGAAGCGGAGCAGTCGTCCAGCCCACGGCGCGCCGCTTCATGCGTCTGGCGGTCATGGGGTTGACTGTGGCGCTGGGGGCCGCCGCTTTAGCCGTGGTAAACTCTGCCCTGGAATGGGCTCCGAAACTAGACTTACTCTTCCCGTGAAGGAGCCGAACCACAGCATCTCGTTTTGAGGACTGAATATTGTTATTTTGCCTTTTTTTTTTTTTTTTTAAGTATTTATACTTGTCAGACTAATAAATAAAATATTGTGCGGGTAGTTACTGTAATTAAACAAGATTTTTTTTTCCCCCATTGAATGAGGTGCGGATATTGAGCAAAGTATATCACTTTCTTCAGTAGACGATAAAAATGTTTCCTGTATGTACAGTGGAGGTATGTACACTTCACGCCTCATATATGAAACACGATCTGAGCACATTTTTGTGTATATAGTTAAAAACTTTGTCTTTCACACAAAGATGAAATTTTGCTGCAAATATTCTCTCTCTCAGGCCATCCAAGATGTAGATGGGTTTGTTTCTTCATCAGATTTGGAGAAATGTAGCATTACATCACTTGCTCACCAATGGATCCTCTGCAGTGAATGGGTGCCGTCAGAATGAGAGTCCAAACAGCTGATAAAAACATCACAATAATCCACAAGGAATCCACACCACTCCAGTCCATCAGTTAATGTCTTGTGAAGTGAAAAGCTGTGTGTTTGTAAGAAACTAATCCATTAAGATGTGTTTAACTGTTTTTTACTAACTTTTAACTGTTGCTTCCAGCTACAATTCGAGTCCTCTATTCAAAATATTGCTTTCTCCAGTGAAAAAGTTGTGTTATCAGGAGATAAATATGGACTCTCAGGACTATTTAAATCATGGACTCATATTTTGGTCAGAAGCTGTTTTAAATTATTGTGTTGTTTTTATCAGCTGTTTTGGACTCTCATTCTGAAGGCACCCATTCACTGCAATGAATCCATTGGTGAGCAAGTGATGTAGCCTAATACTAATTTTCTCCAAATCTGTTCTGATGAAGAAACAAACACATCTACATCTTGGACAGCCTGAGGGTGAGTAAAATTTCAGCAAATTTTTATTTTGGGGGGAACTATTTCTTTCAAAATTCATGTACATTATATGTTTAACAGTTTATCAACTATTTAGTATGGACATCGCTCATAATACAGTTTTTATCTAAACTGTCACACTAAATAGAATGCAACAATTGAATAATGATAGAAATTTTCTTTTAAAATTCAAACTGAATGCAAACCGTTTACATAAGAATGTTTTTGTGAGCTATGTACATAACAATAGTTTAAAGGAGTTTTTGCTTTGAAACTCATGTACAAAAACAACATTTATGTACAGTGTTTAAAAAAATGTTTTCCCATAAATTGTCAAACCAAATTCAATAATAGTTTGCGCAAGTCTGCTTATATAAAAATCCTTTGTAAAGCTTTTTCCTTTTTGCGACAATTTATGTTTTAAATTCACGTACAAAAACAACATTCAAACAAAAACTCAAAATCAACAATTTCACAAGAGCTTTTTTAGAAATGTATTCAGAAATTTGCTCAACTTGTGGTTCATGATTGAGACGGCATGTACTTTGTTAAATAAAAAAAATTAAAAACTAATATATCGAGACCAAAATATATTTAGAGCCCTTGTTTGTAGAATTGGAAATTGAATCTAGTTCAGGACCCCTTATGGGCAGGAATTGTTTTTTGTCAAGTGTATGTAGAGTTGTGAAAGAAACGATTTATGAAAGCAGTTAACGAACCATCTTATTATGTTCATAATTTGTATGTTATTTTTCACTACATTTCAGTTTTTTTTCTCTCCGAATCACCTTAATTACAGTATTTTTGTGATAAGTGCTGATCTTAGTACATAACGTGCCGTTTTCACGAATCTCAGCTGGAATTGAAACCACTTCTGAATAACTTCAGCTGATGAACAAACTTGAGATTTCTTGATTCTGGAGTGTGTAATCGTTGAATGTGAATTTGGTAGTTTCTCTAATTGAACTCCAGATCGGTGTTGAATCATGGCACATTGTTTTTTGTTGTTTAAATGCTGATCGTTTCCATTAAACATCATCTTCTAAGCTCAGAGTAACATTCAAGTGGATATTTTCCAGGATTCTAACACTGCTTGGTTGAAAACATTCTTGAATCATGATTTATTGAAATAACACGCTGCCATCCACACAGCGCTACTGTTTATGCTTTTATTTTGTATTAATTTTGCACTAAAGAACACGCTTCTTGCTTATTTTTTGCACTTTGAGAGATTGTCATAAGTTGTCTCTGGTTCACTCAAGTTAATGTGTCACAGTTGACCATGTTGCTAAATACGTTTAAATAAAAAGAAGAGATACATTCTGCGTTGGTTTTATGTGAATTATTATTTACATTGAGTTTATTTGAATTTTAATATTATAAAATAATATATAAAATAATTTGTATTAGCTCCATTTTTGTATACCAGCTGCCTTATTGAATCATAAAATATTGTAAAGAAAACAATATTGTCAACAACATACTAAAAATGCTTCAGCATGAATAAAAAATGGAATCTAAGAAAATATTGGAATATTTTTAATTTTGATATGTCAGTAATTATAATAAAGCATTTTTAATTTATCATAAAAGGCGCAACTACTCATTTGATTACAAACTTGCATTTTTCTACATTTAAATTAATCTTGAATATGTTGTTTTCTTCTGTTGTTACTTCATTGTTCCATATTGCATATTTTGCTATGATATTACAACAACAAAAAATCTTTGGATTCTAAACAAAAATGGCCTTAAAAGAAATCAAGATTTAAACACAATAATGCTTTCCTCTTATTATATCATTGCACAAAGTCCCAGAGCATCAGTTTGCCAGAAAATGGTAGTGATTTAAGACCATTTCACGTATATATTTTAAAAATGTCACTTTTTCATCAGTTTATACTATCCCATGAAACCTCAAATATTTTAATTTTGTAAACATGTTCTGAATATTTAGTCATAGAACATATCAATTAAATACAGACATCTGGATTAATGTGCCAGTGATATGGCTAGACTTAACGAACATATTAAAGCAATAATCGCAAACTGTATGTTGCACATCAGCCCCACCTGGATTATTTTAAGGAGTTTTGTAAGTGTTTTTTTGCTGTAGCACAGGTTTTTGCTTGTTGAATCAGCAGCATTCAGCGATGCCGCCGGTGTTCAGTGGCAGTTCTGGCAGCGTGGATGGCAGAGGACTCCGTTGACTCGACATCTGCAACCACCTGTTGTGTCTCCAGCACCCTGAGGAACCAAAACCAGGTCCAGGTTAGCCGTCTGATGTTTGTGAATCACTGAACTAATGATTTATGTAGTTTAGTGTCTGACCTGAGGTCCCCATCGGGCTTGTTTGGTCACCCAGCAGATCTCGGTCTTACACATCAGACAGCAGATCCAGTCACAGCCGTCCTTCTTCTGGACGATCACCTGACATTTGGGACAGTTCATCGCCTCGCCGTTCTTCAGGAGTTGCTGGAAAGGAAATCAGTCAATAGGTAACAAATATTTTAATGTTGATTCTTGTTAGTGTATTGAAAACATAAAGCGCAACCAGTGAAGTCTGATTCCCGAACCAATTAATTTTATGAATTGGTTCTTTGTAGGGAATCGGACATAAAGCGCAAGAAGTGTAGCCTGATTCCCAAACAAGGACTTTTTACGAATCGGCTCTTTTTAGTGAATCAAACACATACAGTCTGACCAATGTGGTATGATTCCCGAACAAGTGACTCTTTTGAATCAGACTGTTTTAGTGAATCGAACATATATAGTGTGACCAGTGTAGTCTGATTCGCAAACAAATTATTTTTTTCTCTTATGAATCATCTCTTTGTAGTCAAACGCATACCCGGGTTTCCATCCAAAGTTGCAAATTTAACTTGTGCGCAAAATTGGAATATCGCATAAAACATTTGCGAACAAGCAATATTTCCATCCAATGAGTCAAAGAAAACAAAATTGTCACTTCCTGATAAACTGGCACTATAAATCACTAACAAAAGTAGGAGAAGCTACTGATTATAATAATTTTCATATATAATAAATTACTTGTGCCGAAACACAATAAATTCTGGCAATTGCTTTCGGAGGTGGATGCCTGCTGTTTGGGAATGCAGTCGTGTAAGACAGTTCTGGGAGGCAATTATACATAAATACTTTGACGACAGACTTTGCTCGGGCATTCAGAATGACATTAACAACAATTCAGATGCTGTGGAACGAGATCCACCCACTGGTTAGTCAGGATTTGCTGTCCCATAACGCAAAGTCACATGACTTCTTTGATGCACATGGAGGAATTTATTCGGCAAATGCATTTCCATCTTCCATTATTCGCATGAACCAAGTCAAAAGTCACCTCAAGTGAGCGTAAAAACTTTTTTGCGATTTAAGGGATTTTTATTTGGCGTTTCCATCTCTCATTTCGGATGCGATACTTCAAAATGCACATTAAAACAGGGTGATGGAAACATAGCTAGTGTTAGTCTGATTCCTCAACCAAATGACTCTTACAAACCAGCTCTTTTTAGTGAATTGAAATACATACAGCGCAACCAATGTAGTCTTATTACTAAACAAATGATTCTTATGAATCGGCTCTCTTTATTGTATATTTATGAATCATTAAAATAATCTCATTTTTGGTAACACAACAGATTCTCAAACAAATAACTCCTATCAATCACCTCTTTTCAGTGAATCAAACACAGTGTGACCAATGTAGTCTGATTCTCGACAACTGACTCTTTTGAATCTGCTGTTTTATTCGGGAAATAAATGAATTTTTATGAATTTTTTATTTTTAGTGAATCAAACACAGATAGAATGGCCAGTGTAGTCTGATTCCTGAACTAATTACTCTTATGAATCGGCTCTTTTTAGTGAATCAAACACAGACATCACGGCCAGTGTAGTCTGATCCTCAAACAAATGACTCTTTTGGATCTGCTGTTTTATTTGAGAAATAAAACCCAAACAGCACGACAAATGTTATCTGATTCCTGAACAAGTGACTCTTATGAATCGTTTCTTTTTAGTGAATCAAACACAGACAGCACGGCCAGTGTACCCTGCGTTCCATTCGGAAGGGCTCATCCCTACGCCCTAGTCCCTTCAAAGAGGTTTACCCTCCGGAGTGAGAGCTTCGAAGGGTTGAAGGGTGTCGGGGACCAAACAACTGTTTCTTGAAGTGCCCTTATGCGTCATCACGTGCCCACACGGAGGCGCCGTCATCATGCAAAGGATCATGGGAGCCCGAAGTGTCCATCAGTTGTACCCTTCGAAATCTTTCATTCCGAAGGGCCCTTTGAAGTGGCCAGTTTTGAGCACTTCGGTTTGGAACGACCCTTCAATATGGCGGCCATGATTGTTTTCACTCCGAAGTGCCCTTCGGAGGGCGATATATCCCGTTTGGAACGCACCGTCTGTCTGATTCCTGAACAAATTACTCTAATGAATCATTTCTTTTCAGTGAATCAAACACAGAC